ATTATAAACCTACCTCTGTGATAAAGGTAGACAAAGAAAATGTGAATAAAAGCTTACTGTTCAACCTTTCTATAACAGCAAGTAACATGAGATGAGTCTTGGACAGAAACCTACCTCTGTAATTACAGTATCTTGTTGGATGTCGTAGTTGTAACCATTATGACATGGGAGTGTCATTAGTACATCATGTCCGGAACTATTTGTATTATTTCTGACTACTTTGATTTCACATGTACTACCAATCAGCTGAATATCGGTATTATTTACAACCTGAGTCACCAAAGATTTGTTCACAGGCACCTTGCATGTAAATGATGGTCTGTAAGCTAGATTATGGAAATTGTTGGTAAGCGATTTGAATAATATTAAAGTAAAATAAAATACATAAAACATGGTACTTATGCAATTGTAGTGTTTAGTGCCAATGATATATGGATTATTTTTGTCAAATTATTTTCATGCAAGGATAGACGGATGGCTGTTTAACGTCTAGTGGCAAATTAAATGCATATTCAGGACGAGAACATAATAATGTGATATGAACATAAATTCTGCTTTGTATTTGGTTTGAACTCAGAAAAAAATTTAAAGGAAACATTTTAAAAAAAATGCTATGGCAAAGAAAAAAGAAAAACAACAATATACAAAACACAACATCGAAAAATAAAGACAAATAAGCAACATGAACCCTACAAAAACCGGGATGATCTCAGGTGCTCACTAAGGGTAAGCAGATCCTACTCCACATGTGGCACCCGTCGTGTTGCTCATTTAAGTAAAATTCGTTGACAAGTCCAATTTCGGTAGGTCACACTTGAGGAAAAGAGGACGGAATTGTGGTCAAGACAATTTAAACATATTCGTCGTCATCTGTGAAACAGATATTCCATAACTGGCAACCAACTCGTGATGGTGTCCATAAAATTGGGGTGACTTCAATTTTTTAATTTAACTATCTTTTTGTTTTATGTAATTGTAGTGTGATGAAGTCGTATGATGCAGTTATACAAAACTCATCAAAGATACCAGTCATGTGATTGTGAACGCTAGACGTGCGTTCCGTCTATAACAAACTCCTCAGTGACGCTTGAATAAAAAATATGTTAAGGACAAATCAAGTACGAGATTGCAGAGCATTGAAAGCACTAAATTCCGAACGGTTTGGCCAAATACAGCTAAGATATATTTTCAAAATGAGGTCTCTTGGTATAATATCAATATACCTCTAATAGATTTGGATTAATATTAACGCTGAAATATGCCAAGACTGATATCCGTGACAATCACTCGTAACTATGCGATTACTGATGGGGATTATGTCTCGATAGACACACTACCACAACACAATTCATACAGCAAAACTCCCAAGAACCAAATCTAATTTTGAAATGTTATTTTAAACGACTGGAAATCTTAAATGTCGTGAAACGTATTTCAAGTGAGAAACATGAGGCAGAGATTCATGACACCTCTTAGATGACATTTTAACGCTGCTGAAAAACAATGAACAATAAGAATGATATGCGCCTTACGGTCTCATATTCAGTATAATAAAGTAATAAGAATGCGACTAACGGATACTGTTTAATGGTAATAACTATCTGGTTCAGTTGTTAAAAAAGAATTAAACGAATAACAGAAAAAATTGAAAAAGACTTAATGATTCCACCGAAAGTTCGAATTAATCAGAATAGCAAGTTGTCAATATGGGACTTACCTGCAAAAATATATGCGAGTATTGCATATGCAGCACCTGTCATTGCTAAAGCAAAATAAACGCATTGTTGTCTTTGGTAAAGACCGAACCATCCTAAAGACAGCAATATTTTGTCTACGTTGATATTAGCCATCTTGACAGTATTATTACCATCGGATTAAATGTGGCCTTGCATTACAATATCCGTGATCAAGCATATAAAAACCTTAATTCTATGTCATGAAAAGTAAACCTGTATTGCCTCCCAGGTATATGTACTATTCTATACGCAACAATATCTTACAGTAGGCTAAAATTTCAAACATTCATATAAATTCAATACATACTTGTAAGTAAAATTTACCACGTGTCAGATTGTGGTTTGACATTACGTCGTCTGATCATTTAATTACCGAACGTGACTTATTTCCGATTGTGACTGTTTTGCTGAGTGTGAATTCGCATTGCTATAAGACGTGTCACGGTACCTTTCTATCCAAACTTCATGTATTTAGTTTTGATTTTATATTTGTTATTCTCATCGGATTTTGTCAAATGTCTTAACGTTTGTAGTTGTAAATCTTATTTGTTTCTGTTGTATTCGTGTGTTATGGTAAAGATTATTAATCACCCAGTTCGTTAATTAGATTTTAGTTTGGGTCAACTAAATTTATACGATATATTTGGTTTACAGTTTGATTTAGAAGAAACACCGACATAGCTAGATAATACTATTAATTATCTTATTACTACCACATTTTATATTAATTAGTATTGTAATTTTCATTGTTATTGATAAATGTTATATGAGTATTATAAACCAAATCTTGAATTCCATCCTAATTCTATCATATCCAGAAATCAACGCCACTTTGCTTATTTGAATATTATACTAAAGAAATCGGATACGGGTCACGGAAATTATATTGAAATGATAGGGAATTTTGAAAAAAATGTCTGTTTTAACTTTAATTTAAGTGATAGTCAGGTTGCCGGGAGTAGTGGTAAAATAGGGATAAGCCGCCAGTTGCGCAGTTGCGCAGCTGTCCACTTAGCCCATTTGGTTGCGCAGCTGTCCACTTAGCCCATTTGGTTGCGCAAGCTGTCCAGTTAGCCCATTTGGTTGTGCAATGGGATATTTTGGGTTGTACAACTGTCCGCTTAGCCCAATTGGTTACACAACTTATTGTTGGTGAATTAGCTTCCGTTTTATGGATGATTAACCCGTATCGGATTACACAACTGATCACTTAGCTCATATGGTTGTGTATAGGGTGGTAATAAAATAATCTATAACCCAATGAGCTGACGTCATATCAAAGATTTCTTTTATACGCGAATAGATTATAAAGCATTCAATATTTTAGAAGGGAAGAAGATGGGTGTGCGTTTTGTATATGGAGATTTATTAAAAACAAAAGACGTTAATGTAGTCATACATCAGGTAAACTGTCTATGCATTAGATCTCATGGTTTGTCTCGACAGATAGCTGAAAAATTTCCATGGGCCGATATCTATTCCACCCGTAAAGCTGAAAACTGTAGGAATTTAGCTATTTTAGAAGACAGAGGAATTCCCGGAACGATTCGAGTCTTTAAATCCCCACAAGATTTGAATCCAGATATCGTGTGTTTCTTAAGTCAATGGGATTTTGGAACGGTAAATCAAGACTATAGACACATACCTCCATATAAAGATACTAGAGAGAACAGACTACATTGGTTTCGCCAGTGTTTAGAAGAATTGACAACACTTAACATTAAATCTGCTGGAATACCACATAATATCGGTTGTGGATTAGGAGGTGGTGATTGGACTGAATACTATAACATAATTAGTGATTTTGCAAAAAGAACAAACACCGAAATTGAAATTTACATACCTAGCCTTACAAAGGGATGAACGTAGAACCATACTTTATGAATGCTTTCGAATTTAAACCAGTTCATCCTAACATGTCACATTTCATAACCAGAGAACAGACGTATAAAAACTGGCCAACTCAACTCATCCAAAAACCAAACGAACTCATAAAAAATGGATTTTTCTACACCAATATCGGAGATCGCGTGACTTGTTTCTATTGTGATATTACTTTGAAACAATGGACTGAAAGCGATAATGTGGAACATGAACACTTAAAATGGGAACCTAATTGTTTATTTGCAAAAATGGTATCTTGTGAAGTACCCCATTTCAATGTTTTGAGATAAACCTTCATTTTTTTTTTAATTCAAATAGTGACGTCACTACTGAGACTATATTGAACCTTATTAAGTTTTAATCTACCATTTTAACATTTACTCTTGTTGAATACAGACGCTATGGATGTTAATCAAGTCGAGAGATATATAAAACACACTATGAACTTCCTATATGCTAGAACTATATTAGAACTTCTAAATGATGTTGTCAGAGAAAATTGTTATGGATGTGAAGTTGACCATCCAAGCCAAGTAAACCATACATGTCTAATGTGGACAAACATTGAACATTTACATACTTATCTAGATCTTACTTTTAACAAAATAGATCAGAGGAACATAGTGAACCAACTTCGGAATCAAGTTGAACTAATGGAACTTCCCGAACATAACAAAACAATTGTGCTTGAACAATTTGAGGACTGGTGTAAAATTCATAAACCTAAACCTGATGATGTGAGGGATACAACCGAAAGACTGCTCTTGCTTGAAAATCGATTTGAATAATTTTAAACATTGGTGTTTTAAAACAGTCTTGTCAGAATATTTACCATGAACAGACGTATACTTCAAAACTCTGCTTTTATCAAAGCATTGTATTATGCTGAACCTAGAGACAGAAAAGTTTTGATTGAATCTATATCTCGGGACCAGATTGGTGCGATCTCTGACATTGCTTCTAAAATTCTTCAAAGGAGAGTTGTAGTGAACAATATACATAGAGAAAAACTTAAACAGTTTAAACAAACAATACGAGTTTTAGCCAATCCAAGGATAAATGCAAGAAGAAAAATGCGAACTATGTTAGTATTTCATAGAGTGATACCATTACTAGTTAAACCAATTCTTCATTTATTGGATGAACAATAAATACCAATGACTGCATACAACAATTTGTTTTCTATTTATTTTGTATGGTATGTTTTATGATGCATGTATAACTGAAATAAACTATATTATGAAACTTATTTTTTGGGTTGTTGTTCATGGTGATGAATATTTTCTTAAAGATTCACATGATGTATTAATGTTATGATAAAAACACAAAGACTTCACTCTACCACTCATTTTGTGTATTTCTCTCAAGATGAATAAAACAAAAACAGTACATGATTTATTAAGAAAATCATATTATGATTTATCTAAAGCTGGTGCATATTTAGGTCCAGACAAACTTTACAGAGTTTTAAAATCCAAAGGTATATCGGGTATTGGAAAACACAAAATTCGAAAATGGCTTCACAATCAAGACAGTTATAGTCTGAGAAAGGAACTAAGACGACGCTTCACCAGAACTCGAGTCATTGTGTCAGGAATACATGATCAGTTCGATATGGATTTGATTGATGTATCCAATATAAAAAGCCAAAACTCAGGTGTGAATTTCCTGCTTGTGGTAATTGACATCTTCTCCAAGTATACTTGGATTGAGACTCTGAAAAATAAAACAGCGAAAGAAGTTGTAGCTGCATTAAAAAAAATACTTAAGCATATTTCATTTAGAAAATGTAGGTCTGACAAAGGATCAGAGTTCAACAACAAAGTAATGAAAGCCTATCTAAAAAGCAAAAACATTTACTATTTTACCACAGAAAATTCCGAAACGAAAGCTAATTTTGCTGAAAGAGTAATTAAAACCATAAAAAATATGTTGTATCGTTATTTCACGAAACAAAGAACACATCGATATATCAATGTGCTACAAGATCTTGTCAAGACCTATAATTCAACACCTCATAGAAGCCTCAACAACATCGCTCCAAAGGATGTAAACAATGAAATGTATTTGAAACCTAAAAAACCTATGAAACCTAAAAAATTTAATTTTAAAGTGAACGATACAGTCAGACTCTCTAAAATTTATAAAGTATTCGATCGGTCTTATGATGAACATTTCACCAGAGAAATTTTTAAAATAAGAAAACGATTTCGAATGCAATCTATTCCAGTCTATAAAATTTCCGAATTTGATAATTCTGCCGTCTCGGGATTGTTTTATGAACAAGAAATGACAAAAGTTAATAAAGATGAAAACTCTATGTGGTATATTGAAAATAAAATTAGAAAGCGTAAGCGAAATGGACTGATTCAGTGGTTAGTGAAATTTGAAGGTTGGCCAGATAAATATAATCAATGGATTGATGAGGATGTCATCAAAGAACCAAAGACCAACATCAAGTAAAGATGAGCATTTACGTTACCATGAGTAGTGATAAATCTTTAGAATATTTTCCTAATAACAAAGCTTTCAAGTTTAAAACGAATTTAAATGCACCACTTCTACTTGAGGGAGTTTGGAGAGTTGCTTTGATTGATGCAGACATAGTAAGCAGTACGTCAAGAACAGATGCAATTTACCTGTATTCGAGTATTTGTGGCGAATCAATTGTTGAAGGTGAGAAGAAACCACTCCTACGCAGATTACCACCTACCACTAGAGGAAATTGGTCTACCAGTATCGAAGCTCCTCACTACGTTTCTGTAAAAAACAACAATATGTATGACATTGATATTTATATAACTAACAATCAAGATGATTTAGCTTCATTTTTAGATCAACCTTCAACTGTAACACTCCATTTTAAGTCATTCCCATTTTTCTAAAAAATGAATGTTAATAAAATGTACATTCCTGACACACAAAAATGGATTCAGTTTTATAAAAATGTAGGAACAAGTGGGCATAATCCATACATCAAGTATGCCAACAAATCAGAGAAACAATTAGGAGGTGGATCACTGATAGGAAGTCCTCGTCAGTTCATAACACCAATAAGTCCACCCCAAAAAGGCGAACATGATCAAAATGTGACAGTAAAATTAGTCTCACCAGTTCAACAATCTACGAATCAGGCCAAAGATGAAGTAAAAAGAGAAAATATTAAACAGGGGATAAAAAGAAAAAGATTACAAAATATTACCAGTCCTACAAGGAAACGTTCAAGGAAGCAGACGCGAAAAGTGAAGAAGAGTAAGAAAAACTCATCTGTAAAAAGACTCAAGAAATTAAAAAAGAAGAGTCATAAAAAACAAACTAAAAGAAAAAAGAAAAAGACCTTGAAAAAAGAAAAGAAAAAACTATTGAAGTCTTCATTTAAGGACATTTTTGCTTAACCATGGCAGCTTTAACTACAGAAGGATTTCAGGAAGCACAACCCAGTGGGTTAGACTTATTTAGTCTGCCCCCTACTCAAACAGCTGTTTCTAGTATGTACTATGATGAACAGAGATCCACTTCACAATTAACAGGAAATGCCCCCATAGAATTTTCTATTGCGGCTCAAAATTCTTTAGAATATATAGACCTGAAAAGAAGCAAACTGTACTTAAGAGTCCGCATTAAACATGGCGATGGTTCATCTTTAAAAGCTACCGAATATGTGGGACCTGTAAACCTCTTTCTACAGTCATTGTTTAGTCAAGTAGACGTAACCATACAAAACAAGTTAGTTACTTCAACAACAACACACTATCCATATAAATCAATGATTCAAACACTACTTTCATATGGATCGGATGCTAAGAAATCTCAGCTTACTAGTCAATTGTGGATAAAAGATAAAACTGGACATTATGATGACAATGATGTTAAAAATGGAACCAATAGTTCACTATACAATCGATCACTCTATTTGACAGAGTCACAGACATGTGATTTAGAAGGCCCCCTTCTACATGACCTTTTTAATTTGGATAGGTATATTGTGAATGGAGTCGCCATTAATGTCAAACTGTATCGTTCTAGACCAGAATTTTGCCTTTTAACAAATGAAGCAAACCCAAATTTTGAGGTGGTTATTGAAGATATTGCGTTGAAAGTGTGTAAACTCCAAGTTAATCCATCTATTATTACAGCACATGCAGAAAAACTAAAATCAACTAATGCAAAATATCCATTCACGAGAACAGAGGTACGACTAATTTCCATCCCAGGTGGTAGTTTAAGTTTCAACTATAACAACTTATTCAATGGGTTAAGACCTACCCGAGTAGTAATTGGATTCGTAGATTCTGCAGCAGCTGCTGGAAGTTACACTCTCAATCCATTCAACTTTCAACACTTCAATTTGAGTCAGCTGGCTCTCAAACTAAATCAGGTTCCAGTGTCTGGAAATATAATGCAATTGAATTATGATGCACCAGGACGTGCAACTTTGCCAGCATTCACAAGCATGTTTGAAGTGACAAATAAATGGATGCGAGATAGTGGTAACTCATTAAATAGGGACGACATAGCAGGTGGTAATGCCTTATATTGTTTCGACGTTGAACCCAATTTTAGTGATGAAGGCCATTACCTTAATCTTTTAAAACAAGGAGCATGCTCCATTGAAGCAGTTTTTAAGAAACCATTGAAAAAGGCAACAGTTTGTGTTGTCTACGCAGAGTATCCTAGTTATTTTGAAATAAATCTGGAAAGAGGAATTATCTTAGAATGAACACATTTCAACTACAATGTGTGATTGATTGTGATCCTGAAATGAAAAAACATATTAGTGGTGTATATGCAGCTGATGAAATACCTCATATAATATGGAAACCTTCAACTGGATTCATCGCCAATACAGACCCAATTTATCACCCTGGTCAACATTGGATTGCCTTTTATTTTAATGAAAATGGAATTATGGAATGTTTTGACTCTTACGGAAATTCTCCAGATAATTTTTCTCCGTATTTCAAACAATTTATGATGAACTATTCAAGAATTGAAGTGAATAAGAAAAGACTCCAGAGTAATGATACAACTGTATGTGGACAATACTGTTTGTTTTACTTGATGTGTCGAACTAGAGGATATTCTATGCACCAGATTACAGATTTCTTCAATCCAGACTTTCATTTAAATGATCAATTTGTATATAAATTCATTGATGAACGATTTTCTTGTTGTATATCATCTACTAGAAATAAATATCAAAAATGTTTGTGTGAAAAATAAATATTTTACTTACTTGTGTCGTTCTTTGTTTTTGTACCTGAAAGTATAAAATAGGAATAAATATTGTAAAAACATTCATTTTACAATTAGCTTTTATAGAGAATGGATGATTGGTGGAACAAGGAAAGCTTACTTAAGTTTCAAAGTCCAACTTTTATCTTTATTGTTGGCCCATCCAATTCAGGAAAAACTGTATACACAAAAAATATCCTAGAAAATGCAAATGGCATGTTTCAAATACCACCATCTAAGATATTTTATTGCTATAGTATTTGGCAAACTATTTATGAAGACATGAAGTCCTCCATCGCAAACATTGAATTTCACAAGGGTTTTCCCACTATGGAAGTGTTATCTGAATGGGGTGCTCTACAAGGTCACAAACTTCTAGTACTAGATGATCTTATGTTGGAAGCAGCAGACAGCACAGAATTGATACATTTATTAACAGCTGGAGTTCACCACTTTTCCATTTCATTGATCTTTATTTTTCAATCCCTTTATTTTAAAGGTAAAGCCATGAGAACTGCTTCTTTGAATTGTCATTATTTCATTTTATTTCGAAATTATCGCGATCAACTACAAGTTCAAACATTTGGGAAACAGATATTTCCAGGACAATTGAAATATTTCATGGATGCATACCAAAAGGCGACAAAAATAAGATATCGTCCATTTACCATAGATTTAAATCCACATACAGACAAAACTTATCAGTTGACTACTGATCGTAGAGTTGGTCAGACACCTATTGTTTATCAGCCTTCAGAATGAACCAAAAACATGATCAAATACATTTAGTACAGTTTCTACTGGATATAAAGCAAAAACAGATTTCTCCTATAATCAAAATACTAACAAAAAAACAATTGCAAACGATCATTGAAATAATTTATAATGTTGTTCGAGGTGTTTGTACCATTTCTGATTCAAATAAAAGTATAATATCAAAGTATAAACACCTCATACGTAAACTAGTCTCCAAAAGATCAACACTTATACAAAGAAAAAATCTTTTATTAAAGATAAGACGCATTCTTCCAATTTTCCTCCAATCCTATATAAATTATGTCTCGTGAATTGATGTTAATTCCTAAAGATAGATATGAAGCACTTATTAAACATGAAGAATCGAAACGGACTAAACAATCATTAGATGTTGAAAGTGGGTTGAAGGAGGAAATAAATCAAATAGTAGATGAAAAAAGTGGAATGAAGGAGGAAAACAAAGTAAAACCAACTATAGAGTTGATAAAAAATGAAAACCTTGAGAGAAAAATTGATTATAAGAAGTCGCAACCTAAAGAGGTTCAATCAATAAAAAATCAAAGAAAATCAAAGAAAAATAGTACATCTCAGCAAAATGGTGGTGGTGGAAAATTATATGTAAACATGAAGCCAAAACAATTTTTCTATCGTGAAAATAAAAATAAAAAACATACCTCGAAAAATAAATGGTTGTCATTCCCATTTTAGTAATCCAGAGAACCATCAGCCTGTGAAAAAAGAAAGCAAAAAAAAAAAAAAAATGATGACGTCATCAGTTTAGAATGTTAACTTTTATATAAAAACGACTCAGAAGTCTTAATCATTAATCAGTATAAGATGAAACCTTCAACTTAACACCATGGCACAATCATTTATTAACCATGTATTATCAAATGGGAATAATCCTATAGAAAATCAAATTCGTGAACTAAGAAGTGAATATGCTACTAACATTGAATTTTCCGACTGCGATGAACAACAATTATTAAAAGCAGCTGATGAAATTGAAAATAACTTTTATCAAAAGAGAAAACTAGAGGATTTCAACAACAAGAATAATAAGAAATCCAAGGAAGATCATCAGTTCATGTGTGATCTCTGTGATAAAGTGTACAGACGCAAGAACACATTAACGCGACACTTAAGGTCACATTTCACAACTTTTTCTTGTGAAAATTGCAACGAATCCTTTAAATACAAATCTTCTTTGAAGAAACATAAAGTATCCTGTGGAAAAGCTAAAACGAAGAAATCGTCTCAACAAATGCAACCATCTACTTTCAATAACAAGGGACATACCTGCAATCATTGTGGAATACCTTTTACAGATTACGATTCCCTGTACCATCATGTTGCTTCAAATCATCCATTAAACCAATCTGGAGGTGACCTTCCAAAATCAGCTACACAAAGTACTCCCATATCTTCAACGAGTAGTAAAAACAGATATCGCTTTAGAAAAAGTGTAGTAAATAATGCGGTGAATCAAGTGAATATTATTCCTCATGATGATGAAAAGTATGATCTGTTACAATTTTCAGCAAATGTTAAAAAAGATGTAGAAAAAGAATTGGTTGTACAACACGGACAACAACGTAGTATTAAATGGTATATAAATGCAAGAGTTGAAATGGTTCGTGATGTTGATAATGAAGGCCAAGAAAAGGCTCATCCACATTTTTATACTTCATTGATAAATGAAAACAACGAACATAACTTAAACGAAGCTTTTCAAGCCGTAAATCGAGCTATGGAAGAATTCATAAACAAAGGATCTAACTGGATTTTAAACAAAGTTTTAAGTCTAGAAGTAAACACTGTACCGTACTCACCAATTGCAGGTTCTAGTTACATGGATCTACCCAGAAAAATCAGATTTACTGGTGGTATAGTCAACATCAGGAACGATGACCAGCGTTGTTTCCTCTATAGTATTCTTGCCGCATTACACGAAGCACCTAATCATCCAGAACGCGTTTCACATTACCATCAATACGAAAATGAACTTAACATGAATGGTATTGATTATCCAGTCTCCTTGTCAAAAGTAGAGAAATTTGAAAAACAGAATAACATTTCTGTCAATGTGTTTGGATTTGAAGAGGGGGAAGTATTTCCGCTATATCTGTCAAAATTAGAGAATGGATGCAAAGAGGTGGACTTGCTTTATCTGTCAAATGAGAATCAAAGCCACTATTGCCTGATCAAGAATTTAGATCGTTTCCTGGGATCGATGACAAGATTTCACTCTAAAAGGTTTTACTGTAGACGATGCTTACATGGCTACATTAGGTGTGATTTGTTAGTAGAACACAAACTATATTGTAACAAGTTTGACTTTCAAAAGGTAACTTACCCCAAAAAAGGAAAAGACGATATTTTGGAATTTAAAGACTATGGGAAAATGTTACGCGTTCCCTTCGTCATTTATGCGGACTTTGAATGTTATGCTAAAAAAATAGATACATGTCTACCTAACCCAACCAATCTTTCAACCACTCATCAAACAAAATTCGAAGCTTGTGGCTATTCATATATTATCATAAGTTCCAATGATAAATATACAAAACCTGCTGAGGTATATCGAGGGGGTGATGCCGTAAAACATTTTTTTGAGGACATATTGAAAGAAGAGGAATACATTTCTGATAAACTCAGTGTGATAGAACCTCTAATCATGAATGAGACTACTGAAAAGGCTTTTCAAAATGCAACCCATTGCTTCCTTTGTAAAAAGCCTTTTACAGACAAATTTATAAAGGTGAGAGATCACGATCACCTAGGAGTTGATGGAGACGTTGATTCACCGGATTATTCTAACTATCGTGGTGCTGCACATGTGAATTGCAACCTGAATTTGCAAATGCCTAAGCATTTCATCCCAGTCTATTTTCACAACTTACGTAATTTTGATGCGCATTTGCTACTCAGTGAAGCGGGGAAATATAAGGACAAAAAATTGACTTGCATACCCAACAACATGGAAAAGTACATTTCGTTCTCATTGGGAAAATTACGATTTTTGGATACATATCAATGCATGACCAGTTCATTAGAATCCGTGGTTGATAATTTAGCTGTGGATGGGTTGAAACATTTTAAACAATTTCAGAAAGCTTTCCCAAATGCTGAAATAGCTAAACTCCTACTACAGAAACACGAATACTGTTACGACTACATGGACTGTGAAGAAAAGTTCAATGAAACTGAATTACCTTCAAAAGAAGCTTTCTACAACTCTTTAACCAAAGAACATATCTCTGATGAAAAGTATAAACATGCCCAAACTGTGTGGGACTAACTCCATATAAAAAATTTAGGGGAATTTCATGACTTGTATGTTCTTACAGATACATTACTATTATGTGATGTATTTGAACGA